ATTGAGTATCCTTTTGGTGTATGCCCAAGATAGCTGGGTTGAGGTAGATGGATTCCCAGTTTTCTGAAAAATAGCCGTATTGATTCCCAAAGTGGCTGTTCAAGTTTGCACTCCCACCAGCAGTGGAGGAATGTTCCCCTCACTCCACATCCTCTCGTTAGTTTTTTTATCTTAGCCTTTCTGACAGATATGAGATGGTATCTCAGAGTTGTTTTGATTTGCATTTCCCTGATGACTAAGGATGTTAAACAATTCTTTAAATATATTTCAGACTCTCTCAACAGAGAGTCTTCTGTTGAGAATTCTTTGTTTAGATCTGCACCCCAATTTTAAATTGGATTATTTGGTAATTTGATTCAGCCCTCTGTCAGATGTGGCATTGGTGAATCTTTGCCCATTCTGTAGGCTGCCATTTTGTCTTATTGACAGATCCTTTGTCCACATGACAGAGGGTAGATAAGGAATATAATTTAAATGTAAGAGTTAGCTAGTAACAAGCCTGAGCATTTGTAATTAATATAAAGCCTCAGTGTGTTTATTTGGGAGTTGCTGGCAGGACAGAAACTTCTGCTTACAGAACTCACCTGAGCAGTATTCAAAATAGTTCTCAAGTGATCCTAACTATGCTTGTCCTTCAGTTTTGTTCCCAAAGCAAAATATAACAAGGTGGGCAGTCTTGTGTCATGGGAGTCCTTGATAAAAAGACTACTGTTTTTCTGTGAAGAACTCACTGTGAGCACTCATAACAGAACATAAACGTGCAAGCCTCTCCCCCTTTTAAGTAGACTTAATTTTAATTGCATTTATGGTGATTGGACAGATGACTCAGCAGTTAAGAGCACAGGCTGTTCTTCCAGGGGCCTGGGGTTCAATTCTCAGCACCCACATAACAGATCACAATTTTCTGTAATTCCAAACCATCTTCTGGCTTCTGTGGGCACCAGACACTCAAGTGGTACAGAGACATACATGCAGGGAAAATACCCAACACATAATAGTAAATTTAAATTACATGTATGTATGTGTGTGACCCCACACACTGTAACAATCATGTAAAGATCAGAGGACAACTTGTGGGAGCTGGTTCTCAGTTCTCACTTTCCACTACATGGAACCAAATTCAGATTTTCAGGCTAGTGACAAGTGCCTGGCCTGCTGAGTCATTTCAAGCCTTGAAGACTCTTTAAAGGGGTCTTAACATCATTAATAAAGGAAGAACTCTAATGCCCTTATGTTTTAGAGAATCCATTACCATGTTGCCTGAATTGGGTTAGGGAGTCCTTCAAAACACAGTAGTAACTACCAGAAGAAAATTAGAAACACTGAATGTCAGTCAGTTTTATTAATACTTTACAAATTTGAAGAAATGATTAACAAAACAAGTTTGTCAGGTTTTTTTTTTTAAGTCATACAAAAGAAAATAATGGAACAATATTGTTTTCAGACTTTTTACAAACAATTTCGTTTGGATGTGGGAGCCAAGTTTATTAAACTGAAAAAAATTTTAAAATGTCTTTGGAATCTAGAGCCTTAAAAAATAGCACATGAAAATACTGTTTTGAAGTTCAAGGTTCAAATAAATCATGCTTGTTTTATTCCTGCTCTTACAGATTTAATAACATTGGTAGGGACACATAACTTCTTGCATGGATTAGACACCAACGGTAACCTAAGTGTATAAACTAAAAATGGAAATGAATGAGCTAAATAAAGTATTACATTATTGAACTGCTTAACATGCAAGCTGTGTAAACTTCCTAGAAGGCAGGAAGCAGAGCTAAGAAAGACTGGTCCTCTTCATCATCCTCAAAAACTCTTCCTCATTAATCTCTCCATCCCCATCACGATCTGCTTCATCTAGCATTTCCTGTAACACAAAACATAACATGATAGACTGAAACCATTAAAAATGTATAATGGTGGAAACCCAACAGGAATTTTTTGTTTTTACTGTGTAAATACAGCAAAGTTACATAAAACCATGTAAAATTATATGCACATTGTAATTATAAACAAAACCATTTACCTGCAATTCATCTTCTGTTAAGTTTTCCCCTAGTTCCTTGGCAACCCTCTTGATATTATTTAGTGATATGCTGCCAGTAGCATCATCATCAAATAATTTAAAAGCCTTCAGTATTTCTTCCTTCTCATCTTTTTCACTCTTTAGAAAAGAAAAATGTCATTGGTTTTTTTGTTTGTACTTGTTCTAGCAAGCTGAACTTAGTAGATCTATTAATTCTAGAGCTCTCTGTGCATACTTGTAGCAAGAGTCAGAGTTCTCAGCCTCATGCCCTTTTAACAACTATTTCAACATGCTCACACCTGCCCTTGAGGTACATAAGACAGCAAGCTCTAAGAGCCAGGGGTATTCTCAGGGACAGTGGCAAAGCAGGCACTCAGTGATTGCTGGGTATAGGGCTTCAGGTTTGTGCTTCTTCCACCTTGCCAGATGTCAATATGTCCTGACAACACGTCTCTACAGTCTTTACCACTCTGAAGACTTCTGTTCCTTCAGTGCTATCATATCCCAGCCACCCTTAGCTATTTCTCCATGAAATTCCTCCAGTTCCTCCATGAAATCTCTACACCCCAGGCCCAACCATGTACAAGGCTCTGAAGGCATTTCTTTGAAAAGTAGAGTGACTATACCATTTTCACACTCATAATGGCAAAAAAATCTTCAAAACCAATAGTGCCAGTCCCTTTGTCGATTTCCACTGTCATTTGTCTAACTTCGTCTTTCTTTGGCTCAAATCCTAAGGCCCGCATTGCAATCTGCAACAAGAAGGGAATATATTTTAATATGCCATGATCTCATTTTGAACTTTTAAATCACTAATAGCCTCTTGTTCTCTAACACCATCTGAGTATAGAGCCAATCCTACTGTGACAGAGTATGTAATCTTCATAATTCTGGGTCTTGACTTACCCATCAACCAAGGGCACAACTAAAATGTTAAAAGATAGTGTATTGTTTACTCAGGGTGGTATATGTGCATACCTTTCAGAATGTTAAAGATGTAAAAGGATATATAGTGGCTGTGGGCAAGCCTAGTGGTAGAGCCCTGGGTCCCATCCCCACAAACCCCCCCCACACACACACACACAATGTGGTTTTTCAAATGTCTTAGAAATAATTTCAGAACCTTCAATTCTTTCACATCTATGGTTCCAGACCCATCAACATCGAACAAGTCAAAGGCCTCTTTTATTTCTTGTTTTTGGACATCATTCAACTCAACTTTTGCTGCTTTTTTCTTCCACTGCTCTAAAGTTGTTTGATGGCTGGATGCCTGCAATAAGTATACATGTGAGTGAAAAACTGTATTACTAGAATTCACAAATTCAAGTATCCCATTTCCTTCTATAGAACGAACTCATTCCCCGTTGTTAATGCTTTTGGTTACTACTATCTTTTTTTCCACCTGTCTTTTGAGACAGGGTCTTCCTATGGAGCCCCAACTGGCCTGCAACTCTCAGTCCTCCTGCCTCAGCCTCCTGAGTATGACTATTAATCTCTTGATTGAAAGTGTGTTGTTATTTTTTCCCTTAGATTTTCCTCATAAAACCAGTGTCTTTGAAGAAAGAAGCAGCTAAGGAAGATGGCATAGAACTGTGTGTTGTGTCAGAATGCAGTTAGTCTATGTAGTTAGTCTTGGTTTATCAGAGAAGTATTAACTTAAGGAATGTGTGCTTTTCATATGTGTATCACAGTGCATGCTGGGGGGAATGCTTACTAGAACACAATTGCTCTCTCCCATTCTCCACGAGCAAAAGAAGAGCAAAAGTGAAAAACCATGGTTTTGGTGAACAGTTACTCCACAGATCTGCATGAAAATGTTTGGCTTACTGTGTGGAAGATGAAGGTCCTCTCTGTTGTTTGCTTCTGTCTGTCACCAAGCTGGGCTGTGGATCTAAGTTGCCTGCTTTATATTAGTTATTGGCTGAGGTCGCTATGGATTCTTGGCTCTGGAGCTGCAAATTTTGATGCGTGGTCTTCCTAGACACTAGCGCAGCCATCTGAGTCTGCATTTTCTCAGCAAGAAGTCAGTGATCCCTTAGTTGTGAGTGGCCTGAATTGATGGACCCTGACCATCAGAACTGAGTCAGTGGCCCTTCCAGAGAAAGAGTTACTGACTCTCTAATCATCAGTGGCTAATCAGGTGCCCAGCTTCCTGTCAGCAGCTGAGTTGGTGGTCCCCTGACCCTCAGTGGTTGAGTCAGTGGCCCCTTCCAGTCAGCCGCTGAGTTGATAGCCGGCTGGCTGTAGGTGGCCCGCAGTTGAAGGCCTCTGTCGCCTTCTTGCATCCCTATCTTGAAGGTCCTCAGTTTGGACACGGATCCCCGAGGCTCCAGGGTGGTATCTTTATATAGACCCTCCCTCATAGACCGCTAGCGTCGATGGATAAAGGGAAAGGGAGACCCATCTCTGTCTCCTGGCTTAGTCACTAAGGGTATCCAGGGATCCTGACACGAAAGTCGGCAAATTGGGGCAAACACCTAGGTCCCACAGCACTCACCATGTTCCCAACCCTCTCCCCCGCCCGAGGCCGCGCCTCTCAACAGCTGCCCTCCCCTTCCTGGCTGGAGCTCGGGGCGGGCGGTTGCTAAGGCCACGCTCGGAGAACAAGCCCGCCCACCAGCTTCCGTGATTGATGGCCATTTCACCCAATGGAAGAAAGGACTGCTCTGACTGCGCGCAAGTTGCGGCCGGGCTAGCTGGGTCCTGGCGCTGCGTGGAGCGGCTCGCGGTGAGGAGGTTCGAGGGCCCCGCTGGCCGGAAGGGCAGGAGGGGTAGGAGCGAGAGCTGTCTCCTCAGACCATCCCCACTAGACCAACCGTCCTGCGGCCTTCCCGCCTCAGAGCCGCTCGAGGGCGGCGTGAAGCCCGAGGTGCTGCGTCGCGCTCGCAGACGGGGCGGAGGTGGGGGTTGCTCACCGCACGGTGTCCTCGCGGGGCGGAAGGTCCCTGTGGAGCGAGGATGGCTTGAGCCACTGGCTTCCTCCTAGGCAGCAAGAATGCAAAGCAGTCGTTTCCTAGTGTAGTGAGTAAAGCACGGCACATTCCCAAAGCCGCCGCCTCACCTCGCAGACACGTTGTAGTTCTTAAATTTCCTTAGGCTCCTGGAACAGGTAAGTTTATCCTTGCATTAGAAGCCGTTTTTCATGTCTTCAGTTTCCCAATGGGAATACAGATGATGCAAATTCAAAATATTTTGTGAAGTAGTGTTAAATCATTTAGCTATAATCTATTTATTTTTCAGGCAGCTCTGGCTGTCCTGGAACTCACTATGTAGACCAATTTGGCCTTGAACTCACAGAAGTAAATCCTGCTGCTTCTGCCTCCTGAGTCCTGGGATTAATGCCTTGTGCCACCACATATGGTCTCCATCAACTTTTCTTGAGGCAGTTTTAATGCAGGTTGGCATTGAACTTGCTGTGCCGATTCTAATATCTAGACGTTGTTTAGGATACGCCAGTCTTGAAAAGTGACTGTTGCTATTCTGTACATAAAACTTTAATAATAGCTAGCGAGATAGTAAAACCGTACACATTATTAAATTACCAAATTTATCCAGTGCATTCTACATGTCACACCGTGGCAGCTACTGGTGAGCTTGGAAGAAACTTAGTAAAAAGCAAATGTTTGATTTGGGGCACTTGACCATTTAGTTATGTTTTTTTTTTTTCAGTGATAATTCTAATTGTCATTTGAAGGAGGAGCAATTAAAAATTTAAAAGCAATTAAAGTGCCCCAACTAAGGGTCCAATGGTACTTGGAAGAGGAATAGTAACAACATCTCATTGCTTCTTTAATGTTTGTACTCAAATCGGGACAAGGTGGCCCTCAACAGGTATCTGTTGAATGCCTATAAGATGTCAGGTAGTGTTCTAGATACTTGGGATGTTTCAGTGACTAAAATTGTCATCTGGATAATTTTTTTCAACAGAAAATGATGGTCTGTAACTTAATAAAAGTACTGTGCTCATTTTGTGAAGTTTCAGAGGATAAAAAGAAAGTAGAGCAGATAAACAGTATCTAGCATCTGGAAGGAAAAGGGGTTTGTGGTTTGTAATAGGTTGAGCAGGGTAGACCTCCCTGAAAAGGAAATTTGGGGAAGTATTTAAAGATTGTTATGGCAGTAGATTTCTTGGAGTAGAGCATCCTAGAAAGAGGGACATGTACAAGTACTGAGGTAGGGAGCGTGCCCTGCATTTTCTAAAAGCACAAAGTAGGCCTGAGCAAAGCAGAATAAACAAGTCAGGAAGGAAGAATTTTGTGGGTTTTAGGATATCATGGTATTTACTTGGAGTGAGTTGGGGAGACTGTAAGATTCTGAGCATAGACACGAGAGGGAGTGACTCGCTTTTGTGAAAGCTCCTACTGCCAGACAAAGGAATGAAGACTTCTGAGAGGCTTCTGAGCATTGGAGTGGTGCAGCTTAGGTTATCTTGTCAGATGTACACTGGAGGTGAACAAACTTGATTCTGATGATAAAAATTCTAGTTATATCCATGAAGAAATATAACTGCTGGAAAGCATATCTAAGTGTTCTAACCTGAATATTTACCCAAGATAAGTTATGATCTTTGAAAAGAAAACTTCTGAAATCAACATCCCAATTAAGTAATCTGACTCTGCCCTCCCATTGCAGATAAAAAGTTAAGGAAACATTATTGGGACAAGCAACGACATTGACCTGTTTACCGAAAGCGCTGTGCCAGGTACTGCAAAACAAAAATCGGGTTGTGTTAGGACAATGCCGATAACAGTTACCAAAGGTATTTAATCACTTTTGAAATTACCCATTTTCCTATCCTCTTCACTGTCATTGCCTCTTTTATACCCAACCTCTTAGAAATTGAGGCATTCTTACTTTGAGTTTGTATCAGTGACTAGCCCATTGCAACCTCTTCAAAACCATTTAGGAATTCTTCCAAAGTTAGGAATGCTAAGACAGTTATTACTCAAACTTGAAGTAGATTCTTCAGCTGTTAAAAGATCTCTTTTGAGTATTAATTTTCATATCTGTTTCATATGACTTTTTCCTTGTAGATGGCTGAAATCCATCGTTTGTCTAGAAAAACCTTTTGTAATGTAATTCAATACAGACTGAATTTGAAATACCTATGGGTTTTTCCTATTGTTCCAGGTTGTGTTCCACTCACAGAGAGTGGTGTCTTTTAGTTTAATTATGATCTAGGAGGGAGACCATACTCAGAATTCTCATCACAGCCCCCACCCTCTGTAAAAGACATAGACATCTGCAAGTCAAGGGTCTCCACAGGGCTCAGAAGAGGGCAGAGGGTCTGAAAGAGGGAAATGAAGATGCTAAAGGAGAGAGAATAAGTTAGGGTCGAAGTGAAGCAAAATGTAGTTGATGCATTAATTAATACTATAAACTTGGGCAGTGGTTACACAGAGGTTTTACCTTTTTATGTAAAGTTAGGAGATTTTGTAATTTTTTTTTTTTTTTTTTTTGAAATTTTGGGGCAGGGTTTCTCTGTGTAGCCCTAGCTGTCCTGGAACTATCTCTATAGGCCAGGCTAGCCTTTCACTCACAGAGATCCACCTGCCTCTTCCTGAGTGCTGGGATTAAAGGCATGTGTCATCACCGCCTGGCTAATGTTAGGAAATTTTGCACATGTTAATTATCATGCTTGATTTTCCACAAATAGATTAATTATTTTAGTATCAACCTTATATTTTTGTTGTTGATTGTATTTGTGATGTGTGTCAAGCATCTCATCTCATACAAGGTAAACTCAAATTTTGCTAGCCGTGGAAAATAGCCAGACTTTTAAACTTCACAATTATTTCTCCATCAACTAGATATTTGTGAAGGGAGAAATAGACCACTTTCTCCAAAAAATCAGCCTGTGGCAAATTATAAATATAAATGTAAAGAAGAGAACAGTATTTAAAACAGAAATTTCCTGGCTTCAGCACTTAACAGACAGTTACAGTTTTGCAACAATATGGTGTTGGCATAAAATGATTACATCCTCTAATGCAATTACATTGACAGCCCAGAAATAAACCCATTTTGTATAGCAAGTTCAATCTTGATAAAGATACTAAGAACATATAAGAGAAAGACTAGTTCATTTAACAGGAGGTGCAGAGACAGCTAGATAGCCACATGCAAAAGGACCTCCACCTCACACCATACGTAAAAGTTAGTCTCAAATCAATCAGTAAACTAAATAATGTATAGAATTCTGAAGAAAACACTGGGTAATAAATGTATGATTTGGCAATGCATTCTGCATGTACCACCAAGAGCATGAGCAACAGCACCAACAAATGTTAAATTTTACCAAAACTAAAAATTTTTATGAATCAAAATGCATTATCAAAACAGAAAAGACAGCCTATAGAACAATAGATTGTACTTGCAAATCAAATAGGGTAGCCCCTCAGCATCCATAGGGGAATGGTTTGATGACTCCACTATGGAAACTAAAGTCTACACATACATAAGTGCTTTACATAAAATGGTAGAATATTTAAATCTAGCCTACACACATGCTTAGGTATATATTATCCTTAAAATTACTATAATAATAAACTAAGAAAATGTAAATGCTAGGTTCATAGTTGTTATTATACATTGCTTAAGGAATGATGATAGAATATATGTTACATATTCAAAACAGATGCAGAGTTCATTTTTGTGTTTTTCAAATATTGTCTTATCAGTGGTTGGTTGGATCTGTGAGTGTGAGAATTGGCTGTTTCATAAGAGTTTACTATCTGAAAGGAGTAAAGAATACTTACAACTCAACCACATAAACCTTTAATAACCCACTCTTAAAATAGGCAGAAAACTTCAATAGATATTTCTCCAAAGAAGATATACAAATGTCCAGTTAGGCCCATAAAGACATGCTTAGATCATTAGTCATTAGGAAAATGGAAGTCAAAAAATGATGGGCTATCTTTTCACATCTCCTAGGGTGATTATAATTTTACAAAAGCAAAACATTAATGTTGAATGTACTAGTGACTGAATAGTGCGAAGAATATAAGGTGGAAAGTGGTCTAGCAAGACACTTGACATCAACTTCTGTCCTAAACACACACACACACACACACACACACACACACACACACACACATACACACACAATCAATTCATATCTACCCAGAATGTGATTTTATTGGAAAGTAGTCTTTGTAGATGGAATTAGTTAAGATGAAGTCATACTGGATTAGGGTAGGCCGTAAGTTCAATAACTGGTGTTGTAATTAACAAAAAGGACAATTGAAACAGGCAAAGATTAAAGTTATGCAACTAAAAGACAAAGAATACCAGAAGCAACTAGGAATTGGAAGAGAAAAAAAGGATCCTTCCCTAGAGCCCTGAGAGGAAGCACTGCCCTGCAACATCATCATCTGGAGAATATGAAGATGTATTGTTTGAGCCTCCTGACAGTTGTAATTTTGAGTAGCAGCCCTGGAGAACTAACGCAGTAAGAATGTGGAGAAATCAAAACCTTTGTTCATTGCTACTGGCAATGCTCTACTGTTTGGGAAGACATCTGGGTAGTTCCCTAAGCTAAACATAGAATAACCATATGGTCCAGGAATTTTACTTCTAGATTTATAGCTAAAATATGTGGAAGTAGGTTCAGAAATGTACTTTTACAGAAATGTTCACAGCAGCACAAAGACAGAAGCTCAGTAGCTAAAAGGTGGAAACAACCTAAATGTCTAGCAGTAGACAGATATATAAAATGTGGTACCTACCTAGGAATATTATTCCACTAAGAAAAACAGTGAATTATTGTTAAATAATAAGTCTGAAAGAACTCTAAAAATAAGCTAAATAAAATGTAGAAAGATCTAAATAAAATGTAGAAAGATCATGTATTTCATGATTTCATTTATATAAAATACCAAGAATAGGTCAAAACAGATTAAAAGCAAATTAGCAATTACCATTTACAGAAAGAAACAGAGTTACTGCTTAGTAGAGTAGCTTTCAGGTTTTCTTTCATGGCTGTTAAATCTTTGGAGCAAGGTAGAGGTGGTTACATAACATTGTGAACGTGCTAAATCTAAATTGTATTCTTTAAATTAAAATCACTTCATTTCATCAAGATTAGTAGCCTTACAAGGTTAGTAAGAAGAAGTCAAAGAGAGGCAGAGGATTTGAGGATATGATGCATGGAGTGAGTGAAGCCATTGATAAGTAGAACTTAAAGTTTAGTGGGGAGATGGTATTGCAGGAGGAGGACAGAAAAGTAAGACCAGACAGATGTCACCTCCCAAGGCAGTAGTTTCATTATAGATGGTTTTTCATTTAAAAAGTACCATTGTTAGCCGGGTGTGGTGGCACACACCTTTAATCCTAGCTCTAATCCCAGCACTCAGGAGGCAGAGGCAGGAAGATCTCTATAAATTCAAGGCCAATCTGGTCTTCAGAGTGAGTTCCAAAGACAGCCAGGGCTACACAGAGAAACCCAGTCTCAAAAAACAAACAACAACAACAACAAAAAAAAAAGAATAAGAAAGTACCATTATTTGAAAGCTTTTTAGTATTGAAGTAATAGTCTTTCTCTTGGTGGTATTCATTTTGGATGTGACTTCTAAAATATTATCTTGAATAATTTTAATTGCCCTTGGATCTCCCTTTAAATAGAACCTTTTTTTCCTTCATAATGTAATCAATACCCAAATCTTTGTCCCCATTGTCTGACTTCATTTTTCTTAGACGATGAAGTGGCTGCTCTACTTCAGTCTGGTATTTAGCTGGTCAGTCCAAACTTACCAGAATGGTAATATATCTGAACACACAAAACTGTGTGCTAGGAACTGTTCTGAGCACTGTATTCCTCATACTAGCTGTGAAGTAGCCTATGTATTAGTCTCATTTTCCAGATGTGTAAAGTGAAGAGCTACCCACCTGTTAGCAGTGGAACAAAGTTGAAGCCCAGGCTTCTAGACTCAGAAGTACAAGCTTTCAAGCACTACAGGTCATTCTTAATCTCAACACGAGTGATTCCCATTGTAGGAGAGCATGAAATGTCCTCAATCCAACTCCTCCTCTGCTGGAGCCTTAGGTCCTTCTGCTCCTTTCCATGTATGCTATATTCCCATAATACCAGGCTTCTTGTACAACTCCTATTTTTGCTTTTCTTTTTCTTTTTCTTTTTTTAACATATTTGTACATTCACTACCACTCCTTCAGCTTGCTAGCTCAGCTTGCGCAGTTACTCTGCAGATGACATGATGGAATACTCCTGTAATTCCAGCACTCTCTAGGTGGAGACAGGGTGGTCACAGATTTAAGACTATCCTGAGCTATATTGTAAGATCCTGTCTCAAAAAAATCACAGCACAAGTATGTTTCAGGTCTCATTCTTCAGATTACCTTCTGGAAACCTTCTTGTTGCCTCGTGCTCCTCTCCATTTCCTCTGCCTTGTGGAGTGGTCAACCCTCTCTACACCACCCTGTCCCCCATGCCTTTATGTTACTCTTGTGTATCATCACACTGATCATAGTAATTGAAACTTTATCCAAAAGTGTGAGCTGTGTTTTCTTCATTTGTCATCATCAGTCACCCAGTAAAGTTTCAAGTATTTATTTATTTGCAGGTAATTACTTGTGATGGCTTGCAGAGTCATAAACAAAAGAAGACACTTGGGACTTCAACAACTTTCATCATTCGCACAAACCGGAAGGAGTTTCCTAGGCCCAGTAAAAGCCACCAAGTTTATTACAGATGCAGAGTGTCATGAAAGTTTGTTAATCAGCTCAACAGTCAGGCTTCTTGAAGGTTTGGATTTAACCTGTGCTGTGGGGCAGCTTCTCAATGAAGCAGTTCAAGCACAGAGTGGCACATATAGAATTGGAACCAGCACTCTCTTGTTTCTTGTTGGTGCATGGAGTAGAGCTGTTGAAGAATGTCTTCATCTGGGTGTTCCCACTCCAGTAATAGTGTCAGTAATGACCGAAGGCTTGAGTTCTTGCATTGAAGCAGTAGTTTCCCTTCAAGTACCCATATACAATGTGTTTGACCACATGGACAGCACAAGTACAGTTGATGTCAGCTTGTGTCCTTTTCTACAAGTCCCTTCAGATCCTGGGTTGTTAAAGGAAAAGCATGATTTCAAAGATGCTACGTCTCAGTTATTGTCCACTTACGGTCTTTCTGGGAGACATGCAGAATCACCCAAATTCTTCAAAACTCAGGCTAAGGTTGAAACAGAAAAAAAAACGCCACAAGCTCTGCAAAATAGCCTATATACATATTCCTTCTGCAGAAAGTCAGCATTAATTCACAGTAGGCATTTTAACAGGACAGATAATAGCCACTGGATAAACAGACCCAATGGATTTCTAGAACAATATGGATCGACTCCCAGAACTTCTGGATGTAATAATTTGGTGGAGTTAGCAGTTGGCTTGAGCCATGGAGACCACAGCAGCATGACATTGGCAGAGGCAGCTGTGCGGCTGCAGTGGCAGAGTGTGTTTCTGCAGCAAGCCAACTGTAAGGCACCATTTATGTTTGATATTTCAAGACTCCTCACTTGCTGTCTCCCGGGCTTACCGGAAACTTTTTCTTGTGTTTGTTTAGGATATGTCACTGCTGTACCCATGTCTAGTATTGCTCTGATAAAGGAATTGCAGCATCAGTCTTTCCGGATGATTCTCATCGAGGGTGATCTCACAGAGAGTTACCGCCACCTGGGATTTAATAAGTCCGTAAATATTAAGACCAAGTTAGATAGTGGGAAACCTCCAGAAGATAGTGCAGAAGAACTGTGGACTAAAAGTGTGTTGCAGGTGTTAATCCAGTTCAATGTGAATCTCGTCCTGGTACAAGGAAATGTATCTGAATACTTAACTGAGAGATGCATACACAGTAAGCGGCTGGTAATTGGTTCAGTAAATGGCAGTGTGCTGCAAGCGTTTGCAGAGGCTACAAGAGCAGTGCCAGTAACCTATATTACACAAGTGAATGAAGACTGTGTGGGCAGCAAGGTCTCTGTGACCTTCTGGACAAGTCCTCACGATATTAACAGGAGCAACAGAATGGCAATCTTGTTAAAAACAGAAGGAATTAATTTGATTACAGTAGTACTCACTAGCCCAGTGAGTGCTCAGATGGAAACCAAGGAAGACAGGTTTTGGTCTTGTGTATATCGTTTATATCATGCCCTAAAAGAGAAGAAGGTCTTCCTTGGAGGTGGTGCTGTTGAATTTTTATGTCTTAGCCATCTTCAAATTCTTGCTGAGAAATCTTTAAATAAAGAAAATCATGCTTGTTCAGGATGGCTTCCTGATTCTTCCTCTTGGATGGCCTCATCTCTGTCAGTCTACAGACCTACTGTGTTGAAGTACCTGGCAAGTGGGTGGCATGAATACCTGTCAGCTGTCATGTTTAACACTGCCACTCACCCATCGGCAATGGAAGCCAGCACATTCATTCAATATCATGTACAAAATGCTACCAACTCTGGCTCTCCTTCATCTTATATCTTGAGTAAATGTAGTAAACTAAGTAGTGGACTTTTTCATTCCGGTATTTCAGATAACCCGGAGGTAGTTCCAAGAGTTTATGATACTGTTACACCAAAGACTGAAGCATGGCGCCGAGCATTGGATTTAGTGCTCTTAGTGCTTCAGACAGACAGTGAAATAATTACTGGACTTGTCCACACACAGATAAATTCACAGGAATTAGATGGAGTTTTATTTTTATAGGGTTAGTTAAATCTTTGGGAAATAAGCAATATCATATTAATAAATTTTAAAGTATGTGTGTATATGTGTGTGCACATGCCCAAGGAGGTGGATCTCTTGGAGCTGTAATTATAGGTTTATAGATAGACACCCAACATGGGTGCTGGGCACCCAACTATGCAAAAGCAGCAATCACTCTTAATCTTTTAGCCATTTCTCCAGCCCTAATAAATGTTTATAGTCAAATCATAGTTTCTGAATTACTAGTGATTGCCAAGAATGAGTTGATGTCTATCAATAACTGAAATTCTGGAATTTACCCTTCTTATAAGCTAACAAATTAGCCTGTTATTGTTTTCAGAAGCAAAGAACTATTGCCGTTTGCAGCAGAATCTGCATTCAAAGTGTTGTGTTGGTTTTGTCAGTTCCTTGACCTGTGTGTCCCACAAGAGCAGCACAGAGGGCCAGTGGCAGGACCTGAAACAATGGGTGTTCTCTTGTAAAACAAACACTGAACTTGTGATATTTACTACTTGAGCATAAACAAACCCACTTATTTGTCCAACGGGAGTGATTACATCCTTCAACATTGCTTAAGTCAAACCAGCCATGGACATGGACTAGATAAAGGTTGTCCAAGGCCTTATATTCTTTACATGTACAATAAGTATAGAGATGCTGTCTCAGTTGCTTCTCTATTGCTATAATAAGACTGTGACCAAGGCAACTTATAAAAGAACGTTTAATTGGGTTTATGGTTTCAGAGGGGTAGAGCCTGTGATGGCAGAGCAAAGGCATGGTGGCAGTAATATCTGAGAGCTTGAATCTTGATTCACTAGTAGGAGGTGGGAGGTTGTGGTGGGGGGATGGTGCAAGTCTTCAAACCTCAAAGACCTCACCCATTGTAACACACCTCCAACAAGGCCGGCCACACCTCCTAGGCCATCCCAAATAGTTCCACCACGCCTGCCTTCTTTCCATTATTCTTCAAGCACATCTTTAGAGGAATGTCTTGGTCCTTTTTTTTTTGTCTTTCCTTTTCAATCCCTACAACCAATGTAGTCATTATTAACATTTAGGAGATGGTTTTCCAAGGCTTCTTAAATGTGTATGTCTGTGTAAATACATTTTGACCCCAAAGTGGCATCATTGGACATACCACCAAATTGTCTACTTCTGTAGATTAATCTATTCAGCAATTTACCTAATATTCTAAGAAGAGTTCAGTGGTGTTACCATCATACTCACCACCACCTATTTATGTGGGGTTCTCCACCTTACAGCCAGTTCCCATGTGGAAGATAGTAACAAGTCTTTCTGTCCCACCAGCCTGCTCCCAGATGATGACATGGAGACTTATTAGCTGTAAGAGCTCAGCCTATAGCTTAGGCTTGTTCCTAACTCTTATAATTTAAATTAACTCATGAATATTAATCTGTTCTGTCATGTGGCATTGCCTCTCTTCCATCTTGCACCTCTTGTTTCTTCTCTGTGTTCCCTGGCTTCACCTGTGTGCCTAGATTCCTCCTCCTCTCCCTTTCTCTCCCTGGAAATTCCTCCTATACCTCCTGCCTAGTTATTGGCTGGTCAGCCTTGTATTACACCACTCACAGCAAATACATTCACACAGTGTACAAATATCCCACAACAGAAGATGAAGAAAGATCTTTGCAACTTTAAGACTTTGTTACAGTCGAGTAAAGGCTGTTAATTCTCCCAGGCTCGTATATACATAACTCATCTGGACTTTATCTTGGTAAACTATATGAATTAAGAACCTAAACTTTTTCTAAGTATTTACCCACAGTGTTAAGTTTTATCACTCATTCTGGTAATTTTTAGCAATGAGAAGGAAATACTAGGGGCGTGGAAGCTCATATTCTCATTTCTATTTTTTTTAGCTGGGGATTCATAGTGTTCAGCAGCACAGCACAAAACAATGCAGTGTGTTAATGAAATGTTAACAAAGCAGAAACATAAAGGCAGCACCTCTTAGCAAAAGCCTCTTCTTGTGTTGCACTTGGTTATTCTCCTAAAATTGTACTTGGAACACTTGATTCCATTGATCTTTACTTTGCTTAAAAAAAAAAAAAAAAACACTAGCAAGGCCTTCTTTCCTTTGACCTGTAGGTGGCAGAGTTCCTCTCTGTGATTCCCCAAATTTTCAGATCATATTTAAAACCCTCAAAATGAAAGATTGTTTCAGAGCAGGGTAACACCAGTCTGCAGGGCATTTCCTGCACAGGGGGCTCTGTGGGCAGTTCTTTCTTTGTTCTCTGCTCTAGAGGCCTTCCTCTGCTGTTACCAAGCATTGGCTTGGGAAAGTGATTCTAGTTCTCTCAAACTACTCCCAGGCCTTTAAATGACAGTTGAATAGCATGATCTCCAGCTCTAATGTTGGTGATTTAGTTATAGTAAAGCTCATTTAAAGGGATAAATATGTAGCTTTATTTTTCTTAAATAAAGCCAGACTTGAAAGTGTGAGTGAACTTAATGCTGACAGATTTGAAGGCTCGGGGGGCTGAACTTGGGACTTCTGAAAGAGCCAGAAGTACTCTTAACTGCTAAGACATATCTGCCCCTCCAGCAGGTACTGAATAACTGCATGATATATTCTTTACTATAAAATGGGCTTTTGTGTTAAATGGTTTTGCCTAGCTGTAGGCAAAACCTTCTGAGCATGGTTAGGCAGAGCTCAGTTATGATGGTTAGCAGGTTAGATTCTTAAATGCATACAAAGCTGCCAGTTGCCATAGTTCGTGGAAATGTAACCCACTGTAAGGTAAGGACATCCATACTGTGTAAAGAGCTAAACCTTACCCTTACTCCCATAGTAGAAAATGACAGGGCAGAGTGCCAGCTCTGACTTCCACGTGTCTGTATTAGTCAAAATGTGAAGTTGTGCCTATTAGTCTGCAATACCTCATTTAATTTGTTTCAGACTATTCTGATGTTTGTTTGCCTTTTCTGGATTTTTTTCCCAGTCTTTCTTGGTAATTGCATTAGAAAAAATTCCAATATGTCTATCCGGTGTTCTGAAAAAAATAAAAAAACCTTTATGCACAGTCTATGAATTAAAGAAAATTGAGACACTCCTGACCTAGCAACTGTGTCTTGATGCCCCCAAACAGGTAGAACCCTTTCCTGTGTTGACCTCTTGAGCAGGGGTAGAAAAAGCTACTTCCTAATAGGTTTCTACTTTGGAATAAATGCCAAATTAGAACTAAGACAAGCTAGGTGTAATAGTACAATCCCAGCTCTCTGAAGGCTGAGGCAGGGGACATATGGGCTATATGGAAAGATCTTGTATCCAAGAAAAAAAATGATATAATACATTTTCCTTTATCTCTTGATCAAATAAAATAATCACAGGTTTCCAAAGTGTCTCAAGAATAAGGATCTGGTAAGATGTCTGTCAAACTAAGGAGCCCCAGACCCAGAACCTGACTCTTGAACTGGAGCCTCCTGGTCAGGTAGGGTTTCTGCAGCAGTTCACACTTAACTGTGCAGCAGGGTTACCTGAGGAGCTTTGACAGCTGCTCATGTGCCATTGCTTTTCTTATTCTAGGGAGAGGATACACACCATTGATTTGGGGATTTTGTTTTTGTTTGCTTTTAAGACAGGGTCTTGGGTATCCAAGGCTTTTTAAACTTTGATGAGTAGGTATGGATGACCTCAAACTAATCTTCCTGTCTCCCACTCCCACTAAGTGCTGGGAGTGTAGATTAAGTCTCAAATTTATCTGACCAGCTGCCATAAGATCCTAAAAGAGAACTGATTTTGCAGAGCAGGCTGTTTATCTGAGTTCAAAGAGACATTCTGCAACCTTCTCTGTCAAACATTCCAATATCACATGTTATCTACTATGAAAAGTTGCCCTCATGTCTCATGAAACTTGTTGTGTTATACGTTAAGGTGGAATTTTGGTCAGTGTCTCCTTTGTTATCACAGGAAGGTTGAATTTCTTTTAACCATCTCGTCTTTCCAAAGCACAAATCATGAATATTTGGGCAAAATGATCTCAAAGTTAGTTCGTCTTGTACCCAACACTGGGTAAGGAGTCAGACTAGGCAGCTTCTAGAACTTGTCTTACTTTCCTAGTTTCTTCCACCCCAAGACAGCTACTAACCCGGTCTAGCCCTTGGCTGAGAAATGAAATTATAAAAATGGTATTAGTGTGTTTATTAAGATACTTTACATATACTATAGCATTCTCCAGTTTAAAAGCACAGTTGAGTGGCTTTTGGCACATCTAATGTTCAACAACCACCATCAATCCGTCTCCCTCCTCACCCCCTGGAAGCTCGTACTTATTAACAGGTGGCCATCATTACTGGGCACTCTTCTAGGTGTTTTTGCCCAGCCTGAGGCTAGTGCACTCCACATGCTGTGTCAGCAGCCAACGTGTTTCAGAGAAAGCCTACAGAGCCCAGAGAAGGTTTTTCTAATTGTGCTTCCAAACAAAATGCCAATGGTTTTTGATTCGTTGATTGGTTTTGTTGTTGTTGTTTGGGTTTGTTTAGATGCTTTTTTCTTCTTTTTGTTACACACTAGTCTTCGCCACAGACAGAGGAAAAAGGTACTGCTGTGAGGCTAAGGATGTGGCTCAGTTGGCAGAGAGCTTATCTGGTATATATGAAGTTCTGGTTTCCATTTCTACTTGTGTCTACTTCTTCAATTCTATAAATCAAAACAAGATAAAACTTGGTGATCTTTGGATTCCAATATCAGATATATGGCTTATTTCTCTCATTGCTGTGACCAAAAAGGCCTGACAAGAAGTATTTTGAGGGAGGGTTTGATTCGGCTCTACCAAGGTGGGGAAAATACAGTGGAGTTCATAGTGGTGGTGTAGGTGGCTGGAACTCATACCTTGCTGACTAACAACCAGAGATACTGGCTAGTGGTGGGGTGAAGTTGTAACCCTGCAGGCTGACTTCCCAACCAACTCACTTCCTCCAGATATGTTCCGTGTCCTAAAGGTTCCACAGCCTCCCAAAGAGCACTACCACCAGGGACCAAGTGTTAACAGACAAGCCTGTGAGGGCATCTCACATCCATAAAACATGGGTTTTTGCTGTAGAAACTCACAGCAAACTTTGTTGTGATTTAGTAGTATTAAACCACAAACTAATTTCCCCTAAGTGTGCTTTATTTTTATTTCTTTTATCTTATTGCCAATACCTTTTCCCACTTACTGCTAATTCAACAGTCCCACACTCTATCCGCCTCTTTCTTCACTGATTGCTTTTCCAGACGGTGTGACTGGTTCTTTCTACTTCCTTTCTTCTGTGCTTCAGGGTTTCCCGATTTAATACCGCCTTTTATATTTCTCTAGCTCTCCCGACATTCCTAAAACCTCCAGTTTCCAGAAATGACTATGATACTGAGTTCTGGAAAATAACTTCCTTCTACGGATGTATTTGTGAGCTAACAGTATGCTTCAGCATTGTTCAGTACTGACTCCTGCTTCCATCTGTGGAGCTGAATCTACTTAGCATTGCCTCTGATTTCATAATCTATCTTAAATGCAATCCATTCCCTTTGAAATGTCATGAGTTTCCAGAACTCTTTATTCTGTTAACAGCTTGTATACTATACCTTTATATTGTTATATGTAAGTTTTTATTTATTTGGTAAAAAAGCATGGCAATTTAAAACTTGCTCTGTTCCCCCTGTCCAGGATATTAACATAAGAACTAATGATATTAACTTTTTCTACCTGTTAATTGTTTCAATAGTTTTACCATTGATTGACAAAACTGTCAAATTTTTATTAATGATACATTTTTATTTTCATTTAAGGAAAACAAAATCACATAGAGAAGAGTACATCTTGTTTCTCAGATGCATGTAATGGATCAGATTGCCCCTGGTAGCCAGCCATACTTTTCTAGCTAAAAGAAACTATATTTCCTTCTTTAATCTCCCTACTTTACAGGTAAGAAAACTCAGGCTAGAAAAATCTGTAATTCCTAATTGGGTCATTTTTATCCACATTTTTGTATCCCTTAATTGTATCTTTATCTTTTTCTCTAAGGAATATTAATATGTTAACATATGTCTAACATGAGTAGCCTGAGGTTTTCTTAAACTTTTCTGTTATTTAAAACTTTTTAGCAAAGTGCTTCTCTTTTGGTACCAGTTGTTCAAGCTAAGCACATAAGTACTCTATAATATAATATTAACCTTCCTAATGTTCTGTATTTAAACACAGATCTTTGGCAGACCGAGTGTTTGTGAGTGAAAGAAGACAACAAAACCAGAGCATGTCAGATGACCACAAACACAGGGAGTAGTATCTTGTGTCTAATGCATAGAGCCCTGATTCTCAACCTCTGGGTAGCGACCCCTTTAGGAGCCACATATCACATATCCTGCACATCATATATTTAAGTTATTTGTAACAGTAGCAAAAAAAAAAAAGAGTAATGAGGAGCTGTATTAAAGAGTTGAAGCCTAGGAACGTTGAAAACCCCAGCCCTAGAGGAATCTTAGAAGTAATTCCAGAAAACACACATAAACATGCGTAAGGAGAAAGCCAACATCTGAAATTGGCCTATTTCTCTATTGCTGGGCTATTTCAGTAATCCCAGGTTTGTTCTTTTCGTTCTGGTTCACAAAAAGAAAACTGTTTTACACTCTACTTGGCCTCTCTCCTGCTGCTTTCCTGGTGTATATTACTTCGAGAGAATTGAATAGTGCCAGAGTTCGAAAGCTATTGTTTGGTTGGGAAATATGCATAAAAAAGACCCAGCACAACATCAGCTCTGGGGCATCGGCTCATCTACACCCATATTCTGTTTAAGTATGGAAGAACTAAAGTGGGGTGCAAATAATGCATACCTCTAAGGAGTCAGACCAAGTTTGACGAACAGATGTTTTAATAGGAAAATACTCACGCAGCTAATCAGTCCTCTAAACCAGGGGAACTATGGAACAGAGAGAGAGCCGCCTGCGTGAGACCCTCATATTTAAGGTCTTGCTATGTTGCTACGTCACTGACCACGCCCTAGTGTGCCTGGCCTGCATCACCTGTGCCATCCCCCAAAAGGGCGTGGCTAACATTTCCCCTACAAAGAACAAAGCCAGTGTT